AATTGATCCAAAAGGTAAGAAATTGTTTACTGCATTGAATTAGTGTACCCACATTGGGTCTTGACTGTTGTAGTTATTGTCTTAGATTTTATCTTTCCTATACTGAGCTTGAATATAAAACTCCATGGATCACTTGAATTTTCCTTGCAATAAGCTTTCCAGGAATTTAACTTATAATCCTTAATCTTTTGCTTATAATGCTTCTCAAATCTTAAATACGCCCTTTTCCTCCTTTCCCTTTTCTTCTGATCCCAGCAATGCTGAAACCTCCTTCTTAACCTGTTATTGTTCCTCCTCAAGAAGGTAAGATCCGCATTCCACCACGGAACCAAATGCCTCCCCTGTTTCTTCTGTGGTATACAGTCCTCACATATCTCATTAATCTTCTGAATGGCATTATCTATATTAGCCTGTGCCTCCTCTTTTTCCAAGCAATTCCTATTTATTACTTCACTGAGTTTGTTAACACACCGGGCCGAAAACTTTGCCCAGTTCGCTCTGTTAATATCAAACTTCTTCCCTTCAATTCTCTCTTCAACCTATGGGAGTTGAATCTTAAAACTTATCGGCGAATGGTCACTGAGACAGCTTTCCGCCTTAACCTCCCATTCACCTATCTATTTTAGACATTTACTATTACACATCATTAAGTCGATCCAACTTTATTCTCTAGGCCCAACAAACGTTGGAGGCGATGCCGGATCATTAACCACATGTAGTTCATGCACTGCTAAAAAATCTAGGAATTCATCGGCCTCAGTATCCTGCAATGGGTCTCCCCAGACTGGAAAGTGGACATTAAAGTCCACTCCAATAATAATGGCCTGTCCAGTAAATTTTTGCATTATCCTTTCAATGCTGTTATAGGTGTAGGCCATCTCTTCTCCGAACGGACGGTATATACTCACAATTATAATCCTCTGACCAAAAACGATTATCTCACAATATACACATTTATGATTACTTATATCCTTATGAAAAAGGATATCAATATTGAAATTAGAGACAACCACTGTTGCCAAAGGCCTCTCAGCCTCAGCCTGAATGACTCGAAGCCTTCTACTTAAACTAGCCACCTTGCCTTTAACCGAATATGGTTCTTGAATTAATGCAATCTCAGCTTTCTCCATCCATTTATTCATCTCTGAGGTCGCCGCTATCGCCTTTTACAGATTCGCTTGAACTACAGTGATCTCTTCTCTTCTCTCATTAATGTTCATTTCCATAATCTGTTCTGCTTATTGTAATTGCTTTAATCCTTTGGACTATAGGACACTTTCTGTCCAAGGCGTTATGTCTCGTATCTGTTTGGTTTTCATTTTTGCAATTTGTACACATTCTTATCGTATTCCTGTTCGGACAATCCTTATACCTGTGTCCCTGCCCACATTGACTGCAAGTGGGGGTCTCTTGTTTACATTCACGGACAAAATGACCCATTTTACAGCAATTGAAACATTGTACTATTGGTACAAAATCCTCAACTGGGCACCTCACCCACTGCACATTTAACTTTTTTATTCTTAGTAATCCATTCCGTGTCTTAGGCTTCACGTCTACCACCTAACTGGTGGTAGGTCTGGCCCTTCCTCCCAAGGCAAACCTAACCGTAAAATCTTGATTAAACTTTTCCAGCTCTTTATAGAGGTCTGATACACCCTCATTCTGTTCATATATATATACTTCGACAGTTCCATTTTGTCTATTTCCTTGGGCACTGCGTGGATGATCACCTTCGGTAATCTTTTCTTTGGCTCCCTCGCTATCATGCCAGGGATCATCTCTACTGCCTTCTGAAGCGTTTCTTTGTCTTCTTTCTTATCAAGCTCAATTGCCACTGCACCATTCCTTAATTTTTTTAAACCTTTAACCCCAATCTTCAAAAGATGGGGCTTAATGTTATCCTTTATTATCTTCTTAGTTTGTTCTGCATCTTCGGCAGCCTCAATAGGTTGCACAATTACAACTTCTCGTGGTTCAACAATCTTCTTATTTACCAATGGAACACTTGCCACTACCTGAGCAAAAGATCTTTCATCTTTTCTTACTTCTTTACTGTTAATTTCGTCCAGTTTATCTTTTATACTGGATACCATCTTGTAGATATCATCTCTCCCAGACAATAAGTCTATTATCCTCGAAACCTTTCCCATAATCTGCGCGATGTGGTCTTTCGAACCGATCTTCGATCCGGAATTAGCTTTCAAATATTGTAGCAGTTCAGCTTCAAACTGCTTAGCAATGATGACTGTTGCATCCTGCCTATCCTCCTGCTGACTTGCAAGGGAAGATAATAATCCCTCTTGCTCGGACTCGAGCTCATCCTCCTCCTCTTCTTCGGAAACACGGGTTAGCGCCGCCCGTGTTCCCACTGATGGTGGCTTAGAAGCCATACCACCAAATAGAGGACCTCGCCACAAGAAGGTAGGCAGTCACTTTCCTATAACAAGCGAGTAAAAAATCAGACTCTTCCTTTCTTCAGCGAGGCCTTGAGATTCCCGCCCGCGGCAAATGTTGAATATTGTCGCTATGGAAACCCGGCCGTAACTATGACAACTATCGCCAAAAGTTGAAAATTTTTCCAGTGAGGCAAAAATTTCAAAAACTAAAATCGTTCTGTAATAATAACTAATTGAGAGAACTTTCCCAAATTTTTTAACGTCTATGCTGAAAACATCTTTTTTCAGACGGTTCTTTCAAATTTCAAAAATCACTAAAATTGGACCCGATACAGTCCTCCAAAACCCGCCCAGACTGGGTATAAAAAGTTACTAAACTTCACTTAATTCGGGTCCTACGACCTCAAAATTTTCAGACAGTACTCACCACCGGGTGTACAATAAACGATCTCTTTCAGTTCCGGAAGATCGGCCACCAATGTCCGGATGACCGGTATACGAACTTGCACTACTTTTTACATTTATATTGTAAAAAGAAACCGTCTAACGCAAGGCGAATATATTATGTCCATATATAAGTCATATGTGTAGAAATTTCTGAGAAAAAACGAATTTTTCAGAAAGAAAAAAATAGATTAATTTGAGTACTTAGATCGAACATCTTCGATAGGAATCAGATTGTCAGTCGGGGGAGATCGACATCGCCCTATCGGAATGTTCGATCTGGGACTCAGAAAAACTTATAAAAATCGCGCAAAAATAGGATGTGACGTTTTTGGTGCATGGATACGTAGGGATTCTTCTCCTGGACGTGCGTGCTCCCGATCTTTGAAAAAAAAACAAAGAACATTTTGGAACATCGTGGAAGCATCGTTTTCTGGGTGCCTCCTAGCGATCTACAGATTCGTCAGTTCGCCCAACGAGAAGCCGCCGAAAGCCGTGATCAACGCCCCGGGGCCTACGGAATATTTCACCGGCAGCGTCCATCCACAAGTAACGAAAACCGAATTTTTCGAACTTTATTTCGGACTTTACCCGCGCGCTTTGTGGTGCTACTTCGTCCATTAAGGAATTTGTAAGGAAAATTTTCATATTTATTAAACGGTATACGATGGAGGACCTGTCTCAGTAAAGTTTTTTCACTCCCACACGACAGTGCTGACCGCTCGACTGTCGCGACACTTCCCCCCCAATCGGCAAACCTCACAATACCCCCTAGCAACAGACATCATTGTCTTGTTGAAAGATCCAATTTTGTCCACAAATATTTGGTCCAGGCTTCCAATAAATGATTTTCAAGCACGCCTTGATTCTTCTCTGAATTACGTAGATCGAAAGCGTTTGTTTTTTCTACATTAAACTATGTTGGAATTTCATTTGTAAGTTTAAAGGTTTGATTTTTTTATAAAATTCTGAATACAAACATTATTATAAATTTCATTTCTAGTAATCAAATGAAACATTAAGTCTCCTATTTATAATCCAAAAATTCAATTTTATTTTAAAATATTTGAAAATTTGTATTCCATTTTCGAATATTTAATAGAGAGGTTGCGGCCGACGTTTCCATCGAGAGAACGTGTACGTCGGACGTTCAGCGCCGCATTCCTGTAAGCCTAGAAGTTTGACAATGGAGTTTGGAACGTCGAGCACGATTCCACCGACGTTCCAAACGCCATTGTCAAACTTCTAGGCTTACAGGAATACGGTATTTAACGTCCGACGTACACGTTCTCTCGATGGAAACGTCGGCTGCAACCTCTGTAATGTTTCATTTTAAAAGAAAATTATCACAATGTTCCAAAGTTACGTTCTTCGCCCGAAGATGACTAATAAAGTATCGAAAGTGCTTGCGTTATAATAAAAACTGTTTAACGCCGATGGACAGTAGTTATTTCTTGTTTTAAATGTATATTTTGGCATGGTGCTCTAATCACTTTTTATACAACAATATATATAATTGGTGTAGGAATAAAGATCGAAATTCAGAACTAGAAATAACAATAATCTTCCAGCGTTCAGCTAAATCTTTCAACCGTCTGAAAACCCATTTTATCGATAGAACGATGATGTTCTACGATCGTAACTTCTTCTTTTTTCAAAGGACACGCCGGCAGATTGTGCCTCATAGCGTTCCGCTCTCTACATTGGTAAAACCGAAAATGTCATTTCCGCGTGAAAACTTTCTTTATAAATACGTAACATGATGATAGATTTCGAATTAAATGATATTTATGATGATCACCGGAACAGATAATAACAATTTCGAATTTCATTGTACGCGTGTATCGAATGATTCGAACTAAAGTATATGCAAAATCCCATTCTCTTGGGCGGAAACTACTAGACTTGCCTTCTAATTATCCGATATCGAAATAACTAGGTTTTCTCAGAGAAATATAAATTGATATTATCAGATAAAATTCAATTATTTATTCAGAGTAGCAATTTTTTTTTTTTTTTTCGTTCCTGTTCCAATTATTCTTCGATAAAAATTACTGAATAACGATGAATACATTCAATATTCATCAAACGGGTGATTATTTTTAAATAAATAAAACAAATTCTTTACTAGATAAATTAGAAAAAAAAACAACTTACGTGATTCTTTCCTGAAATTCTTACAAGTTCTACGATGTTCTATGATGTTCTACGATTTCGAACAAATTTAAAATTCGAATTTTAGAATATATGGCGCTTTTTTTACAAAATATTTATAACATTCAAATGACATAATTATTATAATACTGTATTTAAAATTAAAATAATTAAAAACATTTAATAATTATAACAAATAACCTATATATGTATATACGGGATTTGGGCGAGAAGTAAAAAGACGAGAGTTGGCGATTCCGCGAGAAGAGAAATTCAAAGCCAGACGACTGTTTAAGAAAAAGGCGCGAAAAACGTGCGGCTAGAGATCCAGATGGCACAACGCGTTGATTGGTCGGCTGAATGACGTCAACCCACCGAAATAGGAAATGCTGGACGATTATATTTTGTGGTGGTCAGAACGAAGTCACGCAGAAATAGATTGAGTGAGTATAAAGTGAAAATATAGTATAAAGTTTAGCTCGCATGTTTTCTTAAATTTATAGGAATAATTTTAAAATGGTTTACGTTTACTTAATAAATTACTACGATTATTTTATTTTTTTGAACGAATTTTAACTTCATACTTGATCTTTATATACAGTATCTCTGAACCAAATCATACACAATAGATCATTTTAATAGTGCGATTAGTGTTTTAAATTTACGTGCACAGATAATAAATAACAGAAAATTTATACTTTGTTACAGATATTATTCATAAAAAGATCGAGAAAGGATGAAATTTATAATTAATTAAGATAAGTCAGAATATTCTTTGAATTTGTCACATGCATTTAATATAGTTAGATGAAACAATAAAATTAACTAAGTTTTGTATACCTCTGAAAGAGAAATTTTCACAAATCTTGCTTAACAAATTATAAAGTTTAAATGTAAAAGTTGTTGAACAATTTTAAATAAAGAATATTCTCCATAGATTAAAAAAAAATCTGATAAGAATAATGTTTTATTTAGAATTGACAGTTCTTTCTGTCAACAGGCATTTTGTGCTTTTGAATGTCAGTTCAAAATCTGTGTTAAGAAACAATACTTTTCAAATTTACAGAAATTTCATGTATGCAGTTCCATAATGGATATATCTGTAAGTATGTTTAATTTAATTTGAAAAATGGTCATACAAATTTGATTAAACATACTTACAGATACAAAGTAATTTTTTGCAGACTAAATTACTTTTTATCATCTCTTTGGCTTAATTTATTTTAATTAGCCTAACCTACTAAGAAACAGATAAAAGAAGTAACTTCTTTTATCTGTTTTGTATTTTTGTAAGCTTTTTTGTACATTTACTATAATAATAAAATAATCAAAAACAACAAATGTAAATTGCAAATTAAGTTTTTTTTAACATTCTTTATTAGACAATACAGTATTTTTAACCTTACAGAAACTTGTATTTAATGTTTTATATATATATTACAACAGAATATGCTAAGTGGAAATGCAGATTAGTTAACAGTTTAATATGTATTTTCACCTAAACATAATTCATAGTTTTTAATGCATAATTGTTAAAACATTTTAAATAATAAGTTATTTTTTTCTACAGATTCTCT